AGCAAAGTATGGGATTTTTTTCAAAATATTCTTGAGAAAAAATAGTTTTTTAATATAGGCTTTGCTTAAGAAAAGATTATTATGTGTGGAGTCCAGATACAGAGAACAATTCGATTTTATAATTTGTGTTTGTGAATAGTAAAAGCACAGTGATGAACAAGCACAGTGATGAACAATAAAAATACAGTGATGAACAATAATTATGTTTTTACTGTTCACAATCACAAAATCGAACATTTATTTGTATTCGAATTCCGCACGTAAGAAATTATCTTACTTGGGATAGGTTACTTTTTGCTTTGAGTTTAATATTATAATTATAATTTTTATTTGATCCCTACTTTTTTGCTATTTTTTAAAAAATTATACTAAAAATTGCTTTTTATGACATCTTTAAAAAGTTAATTTCTCTATAATATTTTACAAAGTAGTAAGAAAGGTGTCTAAAATTTTACATTCTAATATAAAATTTGATAAGATTATCTAAACTAAAATTTTCCTCAAAGTATTACTTTTTCTTTTTAGTATTTTTACAAAAACATAAGAAAATGAGAAAGCAAAAAAAAATTTTCTTAACTTATTTTTTTTAATCAAAAATAAAAATTGATTCTAAAACGATCCTGTGGCCTTTGAAGTAGCACAAACTCTGCTATGGCCTTTTCATACAACTTGATCACGCGGAGGTTGCTATCAGTATTTACCAAAAGTCTAAGCCTCCTTTGGATTTCTAAGGTCCCTCACATGCTATGTTGCTTACATTAAATTCTACTTCCTTTGACATTATTTTAGTTCATTTGTATAAGAAAAAGGCTATTTATAATTTATTACGAGTTTTATTTTTAAAAGTTTATATTGCATGCGTACCAAATAATATTGTTAATATATAAAAATTAATGAGAATGTTATTAAAATACAAAATATTTAATTAAAATTTGCTTGATTAGATGCGAATCTTGATGTATACTTGAATTGAAAACTTTCAAAAATAAATTTAGAATCATTTGAAAGACAATTTCTTCAATTTTATAATCGAATAGAATGTGGAAATCAAAAGTTAGAAGGAGAATTAAAGAAGGAAGAAACATAAAAAAGAGATAATTCAAGAGGATTTTCTATTAGCACTCTATCTCAAGGTTACATGGTGTAAGCACTATCTGATTTAAAGACCTTACAAAATTTTTTGCATTTTTTCTTACTTGAAAAACTTAAGTTAAGGGCCTCAAAACCAAACATATTTTGTGCCAAATAAATAAGAGACTAGGTGAATCAGCAGTTCTCCTCGCCTACTCTATAGTTCTAGTCCGCCTACCAAGATTATACCACATTGCTTCGAGACTGGAAGGAATGTCAATCATAAAGAATGAAATCCATAGAACTATACTCGAGTTGTGAGAACATCGTGCATGGTGCGATTGTGTGGCTTGGTTGGAGACCCGCTATGAATAAAAAAAAAAGTCTTTGGTCGAGAAAGCCGCCTTAACGGGAAGGACGCGCGGCGATCAGCCCGAAAACCTTCGCTTGCTTGGAGGCATTCGGAGGCTCACGCGGCACTGGTCGACCAGCCAACAAGTACCGTGGAAACCCCACATCCAGATCTCTATCCTCTAGATATTGAGAAATTCTCATATCTGAAGAAAGGGCAGGTTCCAAAGAGTATAGGTACAGTCACTATTCTCTAGTCGTTCAACCAAAGTGGAAACACGAATCATTGAAGTATCTGAATCAACTGAGTGAAAAAGCATACTTCACACATGAACAATTAAGGCCTCAATCGTATATTGACCGAACTCTGAAATCAATTCAATATCATTCTCTTTTTTGAAACGTTTCCTAAGAATATCCTTAAATTATGCATGGGGTAGTGTGGATCAAACGGGGCACTAGATCAATGCAAGGGAAAGGTATTCTACAAGATTAAGCCCTCTCTTACTAAGAAAATGGGGTATGAAACTCATTGGTATGCTTCCCAGTGAGCTAACCACTAATTCATGAAGACTTTACTACAGATGCTTATGGTGCGGGTGAGACTAAGCCAGGATCAACGGATGCTGGAACAGGCAAGGATGATTCACCATATCATTGAGATTGTAGTATATTAATTACAAATGTCAATTTCTTAATTCTTACTTGTTTAGTGTGACTACTAAAATACATGTTATTTAGACATTGTTCTTATTACTGTAGATATTTATGATTAATATATTATTTTACGGCTCCTACCACTTGACTATTGCTGTTACTGCTAATGATATAAACACCAACACTAGTTGATACAACTGATTAGTGTGTATAATAAGCATGGACATACTGAACACATAATATATTGATTTGATACTGATATAAAATAACTGGATAGTATGTGTATACTCTTATATGATTTTACTGCCTTGAAATGATCTTGATAGTCCTCATCGATGATTTGATTTTGTTTCTTTATATGATCTATCTACTGATTGATAGTAGTGATATAATGATTATTTTATAGATTTGACACCTATATTGATTTATTGGCTTTCATAATGTATTATTTTACCGTATATAGATTTTACTACTACTGAATGTAAGTTTTATTATTTCTACACTGATTCGATGATCATATAAATGCTATTGTTATGATTTGATCTCTGACATTCATATTGTTCATTTATCATGTTTTGAAGTAAGTTGTAGGTTTTGGTGACATGTTAAACTTTTTAGCCTATTATATGTGGTTAAATGATTTTAAGTTAGGACAGATGATCAATAGTGTGAGGTTGATCAAAATTCATTTAGGTTCAAGTTCATTTTTTATTTTAGTAATTTTTTTTATACTTTGGATAGAGTAGTTATAACATGATTGCATATATTCTGAGTAGTGTATATGATTTTTGATAATTGAATATATATATATATATATATATATATATATATATTGATATTTTGATAGATAGTTTTATTTTTGATGTTATTTATATTAATAAAAGAAATTAGATTGCTCTGATTGTTGTTTATTAAAAGATAAAAAAACAATTCTTCCAAATTAGATTCTAGAGCATCTCATGTTGAATGTGCATGATGACCTTATACTGGTCAATGTTCTCATAAGGGTTATAAGTCCCATTAAAGGGATTAATTATGAGCAACATAAATTCTATTAGAATAAGATGTTGATGAATTACATTAGTTAGAGATGAATATTCTTAAAAGTTATGGAGCCGAGTAAGTTCATTTCTTTCATTAAAAAAAAAAATCCTCATGAATAAGGTGTTTTAGCACATTTGTTATAACATTACGAGGGGCATAATAAAGTAATGATAATTTAAATTTATCATGACTAGCGGAGGATAACGAGCAGGTTGAATAACATGAGAAGGATGTGTTTAATTGACAGTGTTTGAGAGATTTTAAAGAGGTTATGGTGGAAGGGAAGCTATAATATGTTGGGTATTGCCATGGGTGGCATCATTTACAAACTAGTATTGATTTTGTGGAGCGAATTTCATAAAATAGTGATGTTGCTTATTGTTGTCTAGCCTTTAAGAGTTATAGGATTTGAATTTGAAGTTCTTTGATCATGTGCATATGATCCTCCAAAGTGAGGCCTAAGGGCCTTTGCCACCTCGATTTTTCTATTCTTGACTAAGGGTTTGATTCCCAACCATTAAAGAACCAATTGTAGTAGGATGCATGGGAATGTTCCTACAGATGATGTTAAACTATTACCTACTAGAAAATTTGTAGCGATAGAGTGTATGTGAGTTAGATCTTAGCTTCAGACAAAAAAGTCAACACATATAATATAGTTATAAGAGATCATAAATTTTTTAATTTGGAAAACACAAATATGAGAAAAATCACAGCACCTGGTCTAGTTGTAATAATTAGCTATATAATAGGAGATTCAAAGAATCCTTCTTCACAGTTGAGGAAAATGGGATTATGAACAGTTGAATATAATCATCTAATTTATGTTATAGGGATTAAATAAATCAATTGTTCACAAATAGATAGTGACAATCCAATGATGGGGTTATATGTTAATAATCAAACAATAATAGGTGGTTTATAGAATTCTGACAATAGTGCAGTAATTGTTGATGGTTGTTGATGGTAATCGTCGAAAATTGCTATAGAGTTATTTAGCTCTCTCAGCTGTTGAACCTCCCTCTCATGCAGATAATGAGACCAAATCTATAGTCTATTTGAGAGGGATTTTTTTTGGTAAATTTGGTTGGTATATAAAACACTTCATTTTTGATTCTCTTGATCGTAGATCACTTGTCAAGCTTTTTTGACTTCCTTAATGAATAATGATGTCATAATCGAAAGATATTGGTATCATTGGATTCATTTTGTCGAGCTGCTCAATTTAACTAGATGCATGCAATATATGAAAAACACTTGGTCTCTCAATTAATATATTTCATGTGCTTGATTGAAGCTCATTCAAAGTCAGTCACATCATTTGTGGTTACAATGAGCTCTTCTCGTCGGTATGTTCAATTCCGCCATAAGTTTGTTGAAATTAGAGTCCAATTGGACTTGAAGTTAATTCCACAAGCTTCTAATTCAAATATTATCTTGAGATTTGTACTGATCAAGCAAATTTTGTATAGATGTATCAAAAGCAACGTTTTTAAAACCGGACCGGACCGGCCGGTTCGGTTTTCAGCTGGAACCGGGTAAGGAGATTTGTACTGATCAAGCAAATTTTGTATAGATGTATCAAAAGTATTGCTATATTTTTCAAATAAATTTCTATTAAAAACTTCATCCACATTTATCTGTCCAGTCAAAAATATCAAGCAATTCTCATATCCACATCATTTTAAGCAATAATAAAGTTGTTCTATTTTAATTGTGAATTTATTTGAAGAGTGGAGCATTAATTAGTAAGAAACTTGTGTTTCGAGAGACTTTGCATATTTCATTAAAGATAAATAATCGAGTGGGCTGTGGGCATAACTAATCTTTTCTATCAGTAAGAAATTTGTGCCAGACAATAAATTAATAACAAGACATATATAAATAAGCCTCAAATTTAATATAGCATACTTCAGTAAACATTCCTCCCAACACATCTTTACTGCATGCCTTTATGATTAATTTCTCAAGATGACAGCAGCTTGAGGTTGGTACAACAAGAGGCACTAAATCATAGAAAAATTAAAAAAAAAAAGAGAATTTTAATTCTAATATTTCACCTTATAGGCGATTTCATACAAGCATATAGTATATTTATGGTTCTGGCCATATGTAGGAATTTTGTTGATGATCAGCAGCTGCGGCCCTTCTTGCACACCAGAGCACCGGCAGAACTGGTTATGGATCCAACCAGTGAGGAAGATCTAGCTCCTAGACTCGACGCCCTGGCATAACTGGACGAGGCTCCGGCGCCTGAGGGGGTGAAGAAAGCTCCGTTCAACATCAAATCACCCTCTGATCTCCAGTTCCAGCTCTTCCACTGGCTTGTCGGTGCGTCCTCGCGCTTCGTCACCTGCATCACTCATCAATTCAATCAAATTAACACCTTAACCAAGCAGCTAATCTGTACAGATTAACAGCTAATCTGTGCAGAATTTATAAAAAGAAATGCGTTAAATGTGTGAAAGGGTATTTCTCCAACTTGTTTTTTGTCAGGGAAAGTGTCGGTGTCTTACAGATATAGGAACCAAAAAAAAAATCAAAAATTTATATACAAAAAGATGATAAAGGAGAATCGAACCGTGGCACAACAGTACCAAAGTTTTGGAAGCCCCACATACGCAAATAATGAAACAACTTCAACAACTTCATTAAATTTGCAGTTGAAAGCTTTGGATTTCAATGGCCATCGATCTCCAACCGACAAACATATCACTCCCTCTTCTTTACACCAGTAAATATGCAATTAAAGAGACTCTCACCTCTTTGCTGAAACGGTCGTCCGGCGCCAGGAACCTATTTCCTTGGCTGTTAATCGTCGGCGCTGCGCTTCCTCCGATTGCGTACATTTCCCAGTGCGTGTAGTCGTTGTTCACTACATGAAAATATCCAAGCCTGCACCTGCTTCATCACATCAACTCTTTCCAGTTATAATAACTATCATAATCCTCCCACCAAAATTAGCTGAAGCAAAAGTACTAAGTACAGCTATAAAGTCTTCAGTTTTTAATTGCATTGTATGAAATATCTCAATTAAACAGGGGAGATACAAACCGTGGCATCCTCTGAACCAATCCTTCCCCAAAATGGTTAAAAGCAATAGTAACCTGCATGTTCTTATCCTCCACCATCTCATCGCTATGGCCGAGCAGCATCACCTTATCATGATGAGTCATATAATTGTTCGAAATGGTGATTGCCGTCGATCCACGAATGGCGTCGACAAGCCCATCCCGACAATTTGATAGCGAACAATGATCAACCCAAATATGACTTCCGCCAAATATGGAGACGCCGTCGCCGTCCGACAGTGTTCGCCACCCATAATGTCCAGGGGAGTCACGCACATAAGCATTCCCCCCTTGCTTACAATCGTGTATATTTAGGCCATGGATGATAATATGGCTGACATATTGCACGGTGATGCAGGGGCCGCCGGCAATGTGGACGCTAACGCCGCGGCCGTCGAGGGTTTTGTAGGAGTTCATTATGAGTTCTTCTTTGAGCTGGATAACCATATCGCGTTGGAACACGATCCAGAGGGGTTCGTTTTGAATGACGCCGTAGCGGAGAGTGCCAGGTTTGGGGTTCACCGGATCGTCGTCGCCACTATCAGTTACGATGTAAGTTTCGCCGCCTTTGCCGCCGAGGGCATTGCGGCCAAAGCCAATTGCGCAGTCAGCGAGCCGCTGACGGTTGGTTTCCCAGTTGGGGTCACAGCGCCAGCAATCGTCAATGGGATTGCCGGTTCCGCAAGAGAGATAGCCTAGGTTCCGACGGGAGGCGTTGATTCGTCTGCAAAAGTAATTAAAATAGGTTACAAATTTATCGTCAGATTAGAGCTTTATGGAACAGATACGAAATTCAGTTCTAAAAAAAGTCTTTTTCAAAAAAATTAATTTTCAAAAATCAAATTTTGATTGGGAATAGAAATTTGGGATGCTTGAAAAGAAAAGAAAATTATATTTAAAGTACAAAAATAACAAATAAAAATATTCTTTAAATGGAAGTGCACTACTTTTTTTTTCTATTGATCCATTTAAATAAGTGAACACTAATTATTTTTTATGCTGGTTTTTTATAGTGGAATAGTACTTGTTTGATATTTATATTGTGGAAAGAGGGCAAGGAGAAACAAAAATATTATATCAAAAGTTTTAGTAGATGATTTTGTAAACAACTTAATGATTATAAAATGGCATAGAGAGTATCAGAAAATTTTTTAGAGATCTGTTAATTAGCCTAACAATTATCGTCAGTTAAGGTACAGCAGGAATGGTTTGTATGGATGATAATTCTGTGAGCGTACCTGTGAACTTCCTCAACAACCAGCTCGGGGTTGGGGACTGCCGCCGTAGAAGACAATGGAGAACGAGAGGTTGCAATGGCAGAAACGAGGAAGAAGGTAAGCAGGAGGAAGAAGAGTATCTTGGCTGCCATTTACTAAATCTCTGTATCTTTCTCCCTCCCTGTTAATATGCTAAATGTGCAGAGAGGAAGAGAGAGTTCTGAGAAAGGGATGTAGAGAGATTTGGGGAAGAGGTGGAGGGAGTGTGGGTTTATATAGGCAGGATGAGGGAGGAAGATGGTGGATTTTTTTTCGGTGATTTTATAATAATCTGATTTCTAGCATTCATTTTTCGCATTGTTTTTAGAGAGAATGCATAAAAGAAATAGAACAGGGGAATTGATATATGCGGTCTTATTCTTACTCTAGTTTTTTTTTTTTTATAATATTAATGAAACTTTTACAGATTCATGAATTAAAGATATGGAACAGGGGCGTGATTGAGCCCAGCATGTTAGAATCTGACAAGACATGGCTTATTGGCTCGGGAGCTATTTTGATTAAAATATTTTTTAGCTTGATTAGAATAAATATTTAAACGCTAAATCCCATTTATACCCATTGTAGGCTAATTCGATGCACAACAATTCTCACAAACTCATCCCGTTTATATCGTTGATGTCTTGTCCAGCGATCTCATGCCTTGTTTCCTTTTGGTGGTGATTCTCCAGGAAGATTTTGCTGCGCAATCCACAATGGAAATAACACAAATCACATAATCAAAACAACACAAAGAACATAATGATTTATGTGGTTCGACGAAGATGTCTACGTCCATGGGGTAGGGATGATGATTTCATTATATTGGAGAAAATAGGAAATAAATAAGCTTTCTAGCTCTTTCTTTTTCTCTTGCATATAAGACAATAGCCTTGAAGCCTTATTTAAATATTTGAAACAAAGCTATAAAGGAAACTTTTATTAATGCTCTAATATGGCAAAATCTAATCATCATGCCAATTAGATCACCTAACCATGCTAATTAAATCTCTCAATTTGTTCAATAATCATATCACCTAATTAATGCATAAATTAAATCTGCAATCAAATACATTTACTTAGGTAAATAATCAACTCCCGAATAAATTACATAATGAGCCATCAAAGCCATCCAAATCAAGGCTAATCTAGAGTTTGAAAGATTTTCAAATCAACAATTTCCACCCCATCTTTCACTTTAAAAAGTAAAAATTTGATATACCAGGCTCTGATATCAGAACAATTACACCTAGATGGTTGCCTACGTACTTCCCTTCCTAGGAAATTAAGCTGAACATAGTTCTAAACAAGTGGACAATCAGTTGTGAGCTCTATTGCTCACTAAACTCCTACAGTAAGTGAACCTACTCACTACTCCAACTAAAGACTTGTTCAATATGCAAACCAAGTCTTTTGAGGTTCCATATCTAGGCGGATGTAACATGTGTATCGCCTCCTACAATTTTTCATATAAGAATGCAGTCTTCATATTGAGTTGCCCCAAAATCAGATCATATTGTGCTAGAAGTGTTAGGAGAACCTAAATCGAGGGATGTTTGACCAATAGGGAGAACATCTCATCATAATCAATCCCTTCTCATTACGCAAAACCTTTTGCCGCCAACCTAGCCTTATACCGCACACCAACTCCATAATATCCTTCCTTCTTTGTATATACCCATTTGCACCCAATGGTTGTCCTCCCTAGAAGAAGCTTCAACAACCTCCAAGTAGCGTTCTTCTGAAGAGACTCCATCTCTTCATCCGCAACCCTCTTCCAAAAATCATCATCAGAATTGTCCATTGTCACCTTATAGTGACAAGGAATTCAACCTCCATGGTTGAAAGTACAAATGCCATGTGGTCCCTCAACCAAGCTAGTTCTATGAATTCTAACCCTTAGACCTGTTCATCACAACATATTCTTGAGCAGGAATCTCATCCTCAATATTATATTTTACCTCTTGATCTATAGTTGAATCACTTGTGCAAGTTAATAAAAGATTAAGCCCTCTTTCTCTTCATGAATCTCATATCTCGGGTCCAGAAGGTGGCACACCTTGGTAAAACGAGATGCAATGAAATGATAGAAATACATGTTTTATATTTACAAAGAGGAACAAGAAAATAAGTGACACAACATAATATACATGCACCAGAGTAAATAAAGGAAGTGAATTAAAATGTTAATTCATTAATAAAATATAAATAACTAGTACATCCAAATAATAATAGTTCTATTACAAGCTAAAAGGAATGTAAATAGAGAAAAAAGTAGGAAATAAATTACCCAACCCTAAATTAGAAACAACAAAAACAATCACAAAATATAAAATGCCAAAAAAATAGTCTACTACTAGTAACTCTACTTCTGAAGTGATGGTACGCAAAACACACTTATTGGACCTACTATAAAGAGATAACGTGTGAGTTTAATAAATCAAATTCAACAAGTAACTCCTATATATCAAAGTATATACGATAATAGAATAGGGCATGCAGTATGAACAATCAAATAGTGTAAGTAACAACCTATAGTTACCAAAACCAAGTAGCACTAACACATATCATGTTTCCTACAATAGAATTATAATATGCTAATCCTATTAATATGTATGTCAAATTACTATCAATTCAAATTATTTTAATGCTCATAATTATAACCACACTAGGTATCATCATACCTCAAAATTATGTATCAATTTTTTTATTATTTTAAATGCATATTCAATTATGTTTCCTTATATTTATACATGTATATCTATTATCGGTTTATCATTTACCCATCACTGCGAAGTTAAACACTATCCTAAACAAATCCAATAATTTCATGTATAGTCATCACTCTGGAAATAGATGTTGCTTTCTCAGTAGTTTTCGAGCCATTAGTCCCAAGAGTAGTGGTGACATTCTTTCTCATTGGCAACATTCTAAATTTTAAGCATATGAAAATAAGATAATATATAATACCAAATATATTATTTATTATCAAGGATAACTTAAGATAATATAACTTGTTACCGAATCCTATGGAACCAAGGGTTATTGAATACGAAATAGATAGGATATAAAACCACTCTGTTACACATTGAGTCTAGAAGGCGGTACACCCCGATAATATGAGTAGCGATGAAGGGATAGAAAGACCTATTTTGTATTTATAAAGTAGAACATGCATATACAAGTGATACAATATAATATATATGCACCAGATTAAACAAAGAAAGTTAATTAGAAAGTTAATTCATTAAAAAATGTAAATAACTAGCACATCCAAATAACAATTGTTATGATACAAGCAAAAAGGAATGCAAATATAGCTGAAAGTAGGAAAGAAACTACACAATCCTCAATTAGAAGCAACATAAACTATTACAAAATATAAAATACTAAAAATAGTCTACTGCTGATAACTCTACTCCTGAAGTGATGGTCCGTCAAATACATCTTCTGGATCCGGGACGTGACAATGGATGTAGGCACATATATGTTGAATCACGTAAATACTTGTGATCTTTGTCTTTGGTGGTTGATTTCCTATTTTGCATTAATCTTACGCAAGATAACATAAATTCTTGTTTAGAGATTTACTGATTTTGGTAATAAAAGTTTTCTCTTATGATTGTTAGCAAGAAATCATTGTTTAGTTATTCAAATTCTATTAATATTATTTGTTACTATCAATCAATTAAGTTTTTATTATTGACAAGTATTTCTTAGTCATACTGTACAAGTTTTAGTGGAAAGAAACTTTCAAATTAATTGGTAATTAATTAGTTCCATCATTGATTTTTATTTTGTAAATAAAAATTAGCTAATTCTTTATTTGCATAAACATAAATTTCACTAGCTACTGTCTTTTGTTGTAATTATAGGCAAATCAAGTCTTATCTCTAATTTTTTCATTTTTTTGGCTTGTGGGTTTGTACTATTAAACTTGAAATATCAGTTCTCTATATCCAACCTAAAATCCTTAATTGAAAGTCTTAAAAGATCTTGTTGGAAAAGATCCAGAAGTCGGCTGGATTTCAACAGTATAAATTTTTACATTCCTTTTTCAGCAACACGAACATACACCAATTTTTATCTTAAATATATAATTATTTACAAATGTCTTAATTGTTGACTTGCAAATCAAAATGAGCATTTAATAATTTGATCACAGCATCTTACAATCTTTTATCATAAGAATAAAAATAAGCATATTCTTTATTCTACTTTATTACAATACACTAATTTTTATCTTAAAAAATATAATAATTTACTAACTGTTTTAATTTTTGACTTGCAAGGAAAAAGAAGCATCAAAGAACGTGATCAAAGCATCTTTCAAGAAAAACAGTCCCATATAATTAGCGTAAATTTAGCTTAAGTTATTTTAATCACAGATTTTCTGTCTAATAATCCTTCCCCTAAGCAAAGGTTGTCCCATTCAGTTGCGTGAATTGAGAAATTTGACAAGATCACATGAGGTAGTTGAGGCCGTTAAGTCAGGCGAGGAAAGAATTCAAAGTCCTATATTGCCAAATTTAAGGCGCCGATGGGGCTACATACCTAACATGCCCTGGCCCGGTAAATAGAAAAAAAACAGAGGATTTGTCTCACTTCTTCGTTATTCTAATGACTTCAGAATGTCTAAATCTTCCTACATTATCACATTACTGTTGTTTTTTAGTTAATCAAAGAAGAAAGCAGAGCAGGAACAAGTTGTTCTGCAGATCCTTTTAAACTCTATCAATTGAACTTAACGAAGGTAATCTATGGGATTTAGTAAATCCTGTAAATCCGGATTTAGTAAATCCGAAATGCGTTAAATCCTCAAAATTGTTTGGTATGCCAAATGTTAATTCCTGAGAAACTGTTTGGTAACATATTTTAGGATTTATGACAAATAGGGATTTAAATGTGAAGAATAATGTGTTATGAATTTAATAGCATGGTAAGTTCAAATTACTTATTAATTATTATTTACATTATTAATTATATATTTAATAATACATATTTTAAGTTATATTAATTAGGTTAATCATATTAATATTTAATTATTAATTATACAATTAAGTTAAATTAGATAATTAATTTATGCACTACTTATACTATTAATTATTTAATTAATTTATTTGATTATTAATATTTTAAATTATATTAATTAAGTTAATCAATAATAACTTAGAGGCGTCTAGGGTTTGCCTTTCATCTTCTCTTTTCATTGTTGTTTGACTTTGTTGCTTCGCTGGAGGTGTATGGATTGCACGTATCGCTTCTTCGGCTCTTTCGTGGTTGTTCGACTTCGCTCCTTCGACGACTTTCCCTTCTTGTCGGATCGGAAGTTACGACATTTTGATCGGAAGCAAGAACAGGAGCCCACTGGCTGTGAAGCTAGCTTTAATTTCTCCCTTTCGCGCGCTTCTAATGTTAAATCCCGTTAAATCCGCCAAACCGAGGGGTTTAGTAATTCCGGAATTTAAGCCGGAAATCCATAAATCCTGAATTTACGGAATCCCGGGATTTAACGCGCGCATCAAAACCGTTTGGCTCGATTTAGCGTAAATCCAACTTAAATCACACGATAAATCCGATACCAAACATCCCCTAAGTGGCAGTTTTTACCTTTTAAGAAAGGCAGTTAAGTGAGAAATTTATGAGGTATAGAACTTAGGCATTCATTGGTCTTTGTTATACCAGTAGGAGGATAGAAGGGGCATTCAGTACTTGAGTAGGGCTCACATGGCTATAGTCAGATATGGAGTTGAAAAAAACTAGCAATGGCGGCATGTAATTAATGATCAACCACTGCTGCCTAAAGAGGCCTTGCTGTGTTTATTGCTGTGTGCCTCCATGAGTGGTTATCTGCTACTTGGCAGCCACATTGGCGACAGATGCTTTGCAGAAACTTAACTGTTCATGAGAATTAAAGCTTTCTCTTTTGTGTCGGAGGGCCGGGGCTTCTCCTGGAAAGCAAGCCAATGGAACCTCTGCGAATAAACGTTCTCTTTAACCATTTACAGAAGTTCTTCTAAGGAAGCCAAAGGTAAGCGCATCAAAGGCTTCATTGGTGATGGAAGCTTTGAGGTAACATTCAGTTGCATGGTTCAGGTGACAGCGTAGGTGGTAGAACAGTATCAGCCTCCTCAAAAACAATGGCACTGCGTGAATAGCCATATTGAACAAATTTTATTTTATATTAAAACATAAATATGGCTCCAACATGAATCTCAAGAAAATATTTAAATCGAAAATTTTTGAAATTAAATTCAAAATTATTAATTAGAACTTCAATTTCAACAAATTAATTATTAAATTGAACGTCTTGGAATTACAAATGAATATTAACCTTAATGTTGAGTTTAATTGTCTGCCTAAGGCATCATATTTTCATAATTCTTTATGATTAAATTTCAATCTTATGTTTTAAGAATTATGATTAAAACACTATAGGAAAATCGTTCATTACCGACGACAATTTTCTGCAGTTTAGTTCATTTTTCCAGCGGTTTTGCAATTTTCCGGCAGTTTTCAAATAGTCAGAATAAATCACATAGGAAATGCAAACAAGCGTCATATTTATGGTGGTAATATTTCTAGTTATTTTCTGGTGACTATAACAGCCGGAAATTAATAGACCCAACACCGCAGGTAAACCACCCATTTTTATCGACGGCAAAACAAAAAAAACTGGTAGCAAATTGAGTCCGTATCGTATTGATGTTTGAGGGGGACTTTTCTATCGCACAACAAGCCCGATGCATTCCTCCACTTCAAACATCCAATTTGAATTCTATTGATAATATCTCCATCAATTTCACCTTCACTCTGAACAATAGATCAAAGATATTTAAAACATGTACTCTTATTATTAACTTGATCGCCCAAAGTCACAATCCCCTCATTAGGTGTATTACTACTAAAATTACACTTAATATATTTAGTTTTAGATCTACTCAAGCGAAAACCTTTAGACACTATGGTTGACCTCCATAATTCAAGTTTACCTACAACTCTCTCTAGTCTTATCAACAAGAATAATATCATCATCAAAAAATATAAACTAAGGTACATCCTCTTGCAAATATATAGTGAGAACATCCATGACTAAAGTAAAATGATATGAGCTTAAGAATTTTTCTAAACAAACCATTAGACTCAAAGGTTGACCACCATAATTCAAGTTTACCTTCAACTCCCTCTTTAGTCTTATCAACAAGATGAATATCATCAGCAAATGTATAAACCAAGATACATTTTCTTGCAAATGTCTAGTGAGAACATCAATGACTAAAGCAAAAATCATATAGATCACCTTCGGCTAAGGCGGGAAAACACGAGTGTGGGCATCGAGCGAAGGCGTGGGCGGAGTTTGTCGCGCCGGCGTTCTCTTGACGAACTGAACGAGCACCGAGTGCGGAGTTCAGCGAGGGCGTGAGCATTCTCTAGATGAAATGAAACGAGCAAGGCAAATAAATGAGGAAGAAGGGGGAAGGGGTGGGTTCAATTTTAGGGCCTTTTCGAGTGATTTTAACTGCCGAAAACTTTTCACTTAAAAATGGCTGCTAAACTGTTGGTAAATGCAGTCATGAAAAGAGAATACATATAGTTTAGTATTTAGTACCGGCGGTTCAATCGCTGGTATTTATGGCGGTTATAAAATCGTCGGTATTTTGTGAATTTCCTGTAGTGAAAGTAATTTTTTTGTTGTCATATTTTTTCCCCATAAATTTAAACTATTGCAAAATGTTTTAATTGTAATTTGATAAAAAAATGTTTAAATAATGATAATTAGTCACAAATATTTTCCATCATATCATCACCACTTATTGATATGCCATAAAAAATCATCAATAAGGCACCAATTTTGATGAAAGAAAATTAAATTATTGAATTAAATTCAGGGTTATTTAAACTCCAATTTCAATAAACATATAATCAAAATAAATATTTTGATGTGACAAGCCCAACAACACCAAAAATATTTTGATCCAAATTTAAATAAGCCCAAATTAATCAAGCTCTAGAAGTGCAAATGAAGATTTCATGATACCATTTGAAAGACCAAAATGATATTTGAATTCTTGTTGCTAACAGTCATATTGAGTGTTTCGAAGAAACAAATCTGATGAGCTTGAAATCACTTAATTTTGATGTCATTAAGGTGGCTAAACACAAAAAAAAATGATCTATTACATAGAGTCAACATGAGCCACCTAATTGAGCATTCGAGGATTTTGACTAAAATAATCAAAATGTCACCCTAAAAAAATAGAAGTATTTTGTCATTTTTTCACATAAAAGGGACCTAAAATGGGAGAGTACTTATAGATATAAAGAAGTCCAAAGCCATTCCCAATGATCAATGCCATCAATTATTTTCTTCTAATTAAATTGCCATCGTTAGTCAACTACAATCTCTTTATTATCATTCCCAACAATTGTCACCCACCTATCATTTCGTGAACAGACTCCTAATTATCATTGCCTAATCATTATCGTATTATCGTTATCATCAAATTGCTATTATCCAATCATCATTACTTGAGTATCACATTCTTTATTGTCCTATCATCATCTCTTGACCATCCCGACCACCTTTCACTGTTTTCTCAAAACTCTTCACCATATTCATAAGTGACCAAGCAAACAATGCTTTGTAATCTCATCTTCTTCAATTGAGAGGAATAGCAACATCTATAATATTACATCAACAAGAATAGATGTTACAGTTCTTTGTTTCTTTTTATTTTTTTTTTTTTCATGTAAAACTTTGGCCTCGTCAAGCATATGTGAAATCTTCATATAAAACTAAGATATAGACTTTTCTTTATCACTGCAAATATTGTAGCACTCAACAATCATGATTTAAAAATAAAATAAAATAAGAATATTAAATATTTTTTTAATATGACTAATAACATTGAGATCTTCTGTCACAATTTTTTCCTGAATACATAAACTTATTTTCGTGAGACTCTATCTCTTTGTATCACATTGTTGGGAGATAACTTTTTAGCAACTTTAGTTGTGATCAGAAAAATAAAGATAGGAAGAAATTTATCTCAAATAAAATCTTCATTTGATTATGTGTTACAAGTAATTGCTTAAAGAGCAAAGTTAAACATTTGTTTGGAACATCTTTAATATTTTTGTATAGGTGGTTATAAAACTATTGTTAGTAGGAAAGTATTTTTTTTTTATTATTATTGTTGAAATTATAATTATCTTCTTTATTGAAATAGTAGAATAGCTGCTTCTGTCAAATATTAATAAATCTTATTGCGAAAAGTAGCTTCTTCTGACTTCACAAAATTTTGAAAACAGTAAAAAAATAGCAATTATACATATTCAACGTAAATGTGACTAGGATTTTATTTATTTTATATATTTGGTTTATTGACCAATTATTGCTTCTCATTTCCGATGTCAACTAAGGCTTCATTTGGGGCAGCTTTCTTACTACTTTCTAAAATGATTTTTTTGTACACAAAAATTAAATTCAAATAATTTTTATACTAAAATACTGCTTTAGAAAGCAACAAAAATGCTTTTCCGAACGAAGCCAAAGACAATCCAAGATGTAAGGATGATATGTATAATTGAGTAGGAGTAAATTGATTTGAACTCAAACTCTTTTATTTTGATTTAGACCTAAGAAGTAAGATTTTTTACTACTTACCCCTATGATTAATTTCTCAAGATGACAGTACGTAGCTTGCGATTGGTACAACAAGAGGCAATGAATCATAGAAAAATGTAAAAAAAAAAAAGGAAAATAAGATGGGATTTTTTATTCTAATTTCTAACTAGTAATTATATAGCACATAAAAGGCGATTTCATTGACGCATATATTTATATCTCTAGCGATTAGCTGAGACCTTTAAATTTACATAAACATGTAGAAATTCAGGTAATGATTAGCAGCTCCGGCCCTTCTTGCAGATCAGAGCACCGGCCGAACTGGTTATGACCCCAACAAGAGAGGAAGATCTAGCTCCCAAACTCGACGCCTTGGCATAGCTCGACGAGGCTCCCGCGCCCGACGTGGTGAAGAAGGCGCCATTCAACATTAAATCACCTTCTGACCTCCAGTTCCAGTTCTTCCACTGGCTTGTTGGTGCGTCCTCTCGCTTCGTCACCTGTATCACACAACAACTCACTCTAATCTATTTTCCATTGAGTCCTACTAAGAATTAAATTCTCATTCAAATGTAATAAACAAAGTTCATTTCTAATGCTTTCTAACAAAATTTGTTTAGGTCTGTCTTTATCTTTCTCAATAAATTCGGATCTAATACAACTACTCTATAATCTTTTCTATTGAGTTATCTGATATTTTATGTGACCCAATCATCTAAGCCGACTCTCTATAATCTTATTTTTGCCACTAGAGGTCCTCAAATTTTTTTACATATAGCCCCATTTCTATTTATATTTGCAAAAGGGAAAAAAATGAGGGTGCTACAGAAAAAAGAAAATAAAAAAAACTTGAAAAACAAAATCAAAATAAAAAGACAAAAGGAGATTCGAATCGTAGCACAACGGTACCAATTTTTTGGAAGCCCCACATAGCACATGCGTTCATCTATAGCTCCAGTCCATTTTTTTTATAATAATTAAAATATTATGACTTTCTTTTTTGTTTTTTGTTAATTGGAAATTGTGTAATGAATACTATTGTATATTATTATTATTATTTATGAAAAGCAACCCACTTGTTCAATCTTTTAACTAAAATTACGAAACGAAAGCTACGTTTCAACCAGCAATAGCAAACATCGCATTCTTTTCTTCGTACAAATACATAGAATGCAGGCACTAAAATGCAAAAAGACGCTGACCTCCTTGCTGAAACGGTTGTCAGGGGCGAGGAACCTATTTCCCTGGCTGTTAATCGTCGGCGCCGCGCTTCCTCCGATCGCGTACATTTCCCAGTGCGTATAGTCATTGTTCACCACATGAAAATATCCAAGCCTGCACCTGCTCAGTTGCGTCAACTCTTTCCAATTATAACTAACAGTCACAATCCTCCAACCAAAATTAGCTTAAGCGAATATCACAAAGTCGATTGCATGGCTGTAATGTTAGAATAATTAAATATAATAATTAAATGATATGTTACAATAATTATTTAAGTATGTATATTTAATTGTATAAACTATTAAGTGATTCATATATTTGAATTATTGAAATTTAATTATTTATGTGAAATCCTATTGGTCAAGAATAGATAATTTGATCAATTGTTTATGGGTCGTTTTATCAAATAACTCTTATGAGTGTTTATTATAACTAATCCGTAAGAAATAACTATCGGTACACACACTCTCTCTCTCTCTCATCATGAAGAGTTAGTTTGTTCCATAAATGAGTAACTCATGAAAGAAAGAAAGAAAGTGAAAGAGAAAAGGAAGAAAACCTATAATTCAGAATTCAACGAATTCAACCTGAATCAATGTATGTTTTTTTCCGATTAAAAAATTGTGAAAATCATCTTGTTTAAGATCTTGTGGATTTAAAACTTATGTAAATTCATATTTTTCGTTTCAATTTCTTTTACATAATTTATGATGCGAACTCTCTTATAAAAATTAGAGAACTCATAATAAATGTTGTGAGTTATTATAAAAGAAAAAGAATTTAATCTAAAAAAAAAGTTCTTTTATGAATTTGAGAACTTCAATTTTACATGTGATTAAGTTCTTATACGAAAGTGATTTCTTTAATCTTATATGATTAATTTCTTGTAAGAAATTTGAAAACTCTTAATATTACATGCATTTTCTAAATCGGAAGAAATTATTTGTGCGAACTCTGAATATCATCTAGAGACCAACCAGAATGCACCACGTCACGTCCTGCTCGATACTACTCGGTGCTGCTCGATATCGCTCAGTACCGGGCTCGGTACTATTGACGTGACGATTCTGATTGATTTCCGCACAATAAATTGCATTCACGTCCATATTTATTTGATATTACAACAGGCTTGTAATTAGGGCTGCAAGCGAACCAAACGTTCAACGAACTACTCGTTGTTCGGTTCAATTAAAGCTCGTTCGTGATCGTTTAATTAACTAACAAACACACTTGAACAATATTTTAAATACTCGATTCTTAAATAAACAAGCTTGAACACTAATGCGTTCAGCTCGTTTATGTTCGCGAACAACATCAGTTGATGTTCATGAACAAGCTCGATAAAAAGCTCGATTCGAGTTCGATTAAATATAAAAACTTTAATTATACCATAATATAATATAATTATTTTTTATTAATAAATTTTAAAGTAATAAAATATTATAACATATGTTCATATAAATTATTTTTTTTTTTTTTTTACATACGATTAATAAACTTGTTAAAAATAAATTTTTTTTGATAGACACGTGTGAGGCATTTTTAGTATTAAAAAAAAAAATTGAAGTTAGAAAGCAGAAATACGAATGGCTAATTAATCAGGAGAGATACAGACCTTGGCATCCTCTGAACCAATCCTTCACCAAAATGGTTAAATCCAATAGTAACCTGCATGTTCTTATCCTCCACCATCTCATCGCTATGTCCGAGCAGCATCACCTTATCATGATGAGTCATATAATTGTTCGAAATGGTGATTGCCGTCGACCCACGAATGGCGTCGACAAGCCCATCTCGGCAATTTGACAGCGAACAATGATCAACCCAAACATGGCTTCCGCCAAATATGGAGACGCCGTCGCCATCCGACAGTGTTCGCCATCCATAATGTCCAGGGGAGTCTCGCACATAAGCATTCCCCCCCTGCTTACAATCGTGTATGTTTAGGCCATGAATGATAATATGGCTTACATATTGGACGGTGATGCAGGGACCGCCGGCAATGTGGACGCTGACGCCGCGGCCGTCGAGGGTTTTGTAGGAGTTCATCATGAGTTCTTCCTTGAGCTGGATAACCATGTCCCGTTCAAACACGATCCAGAGGGGCTTGTCTTGGATGACGCCGTAGCGGGGGGTTCCGGGTTTGGGGGTCACGGGATCGTCATCGCCGCTATCAGTTACGACATAGGTGGCGCCGCCTTTGCCACCGAGGGCATTGCGACCGAAGCCTATTGCGCAGTCGGCAAGCCCTTGGCGGTTGGTTTCCCAGTTGGGGTCACAGCGCCAACAATCATCAATTGGGTTGCCGGTGCTGCAGGAGAGATAGCCTAGCTGTCGACGAGAGGCGTTGATGCTCCTGTTAGAGTCGATAAGGGAATTACCATTGTAATGAAATTTACGGTGCTGAAAATTAAAAGTAGTGAAATGGTTTGTATTGAAGATAATTCTTTGAGTTTACCGGTGAACTTCCTCAACGATCAGCTCGGGGTTTGGGACTGCCGCTGTAGAAGACAATGGAGGAGTGCTAGAGGTTGCAATGGCAGAAATGAGGAAGAAGGTGGGCGGGAGGAGGAAGAATATTATTTTGGCTGCCATTTATTGAATCTCTGTATCTTTCTCCCTCTCTGTGTATATGTTTAAAGTGGAGAGAAGAAGAGAGAGGTTGGGTAAGGGAGGGAGGGAGTTTGGGTTTAAATAGGTGGGAGGAGGGAGGGAGATGGGCGAATTTTTTCGATGATTTTTTTAAAAAAAATTGAATTTTATTCTGCATTTTTTTTTAATGCATTGTTTCTTAAATTAACGAGTGTATCTACAACAATACAGGAAATTGATCCAGCCTTCTTCTTATTTATTCTTTGTGTTTTTTGTAATATTAATGCAAAATGAATATCGAAAACTGATCCATAATATCACTGGTTCATGAATTAAAGATATAGAATATGTCTTGTTGGGGATGAAGAAGTAAAACATGCTACCAAATAAATAAGAAATTAAAAACACGGTAAAGTAAAGGACACCAGGATTTAATGAAAATTGAGAGAAATAAATACCGGTCTCTTTTCTCTCTTGCTCTCTTCTTGCTTCTATTCTCTTTTATATCATTCTCACATGCAAAACAAAAAAGATGTGACACCTACAGGTTTAGCATATTGATTGACAAATTATGATCCGATTGAAAAAAGCCGCACGAAGAGGATTTGAGAAAGAAAAGGAGAAATTTTTAGCTGGTTCGAGTCGTTTTCACTCGTAGCATGGTTCAGAATGTTGTCCGAATCTAAGTAGAACACATTACACCAATCTCAATTTTTAAAAGTACAAAGTTTTTATCTAATTTTTTCAATTAAATTTTTGTTTCCGTAAGAAAAAATGAGGATAACTTTGCACTGGTAAAGCATTCACTGCGTAACTTTTTATATAATATAAAAATTACGATTATGCAGATTTTGAATATTTTCTGAAAATTTTATAATGGGGTTTTGAAATTTATAAGATTTTTATTGAATAAAAAATTATATGTATTGAAAAATAGTGCTATAGTACAATAAAAATCTTAAAATATTTTTTAGACAATCCATGATAATTTATTTACTTTATTTACTTTACATCTTATGTTCATTTTTGCCTAATAAGAATTTATGTTACCTACTATTATAAAAAGCTGTACAATTTTGACACATGCTCAATTGCTATAATTTAATTATATATGTGTATATGTGATAAATTATATCAGTTAGGAGCCATAAGGGGTCATAATTATTTAAGATTAAGTCTATGTCAAAGAATATTTGGATACCTATAATGAACGTTATGAGGGATATAAGTTATATTTTAGTGCCTACGGGTATGTTCTGGTGCTATAAGCATAAAAATGAGTCATAAGATGTCAGAATCTTTTGAGATTCTGTCTGATTTAAAAAATATGGTATAAACTGTTTTGTAATTTATCTGTTCAATATTGTCATTTCAATAAATTTGATAATTATTATGCTTTTATTACCTTTCTAAGTACAAACAATGATTAATTTCATTGTATTTAACTGCATTTAAATGTTTAGTAAAATATTTAATTAAAGAAAAGAATTTTAAATTTAAGTTGGTTTATATGAGTTGCTGAGCTATGATAGCTCACTGTGATTTGCTTGTGATTTTCAAGATCTTAGAAAAGGAATGAAATTGTTGATTAGCAATTCATGATCAAATTTTTGTTAATAGGTATTTTACTATTTTAATTTTTGTATAATCATAACTAGTTAATTTTTTTGTTATGTTGCTCTTACATGTAGTCATGCACTGTAGTATAGATATTTATTTTAATGAAATGAAAGAAACTTTGTGGATGAGTTTATTTTCAGTATTTAAATATTTTAATAGCTATGTAGTCGATAATTTTATTTTAAATGATATTGGAAGAGAATCTAAAACATTCCAAAACTAGATATGGGGATTGCTTGTCACAGCTCAACATGATAAGTCCTATCATGATTGGGTAGGGTTTTGACAAAAGAAAGTTAAGTAAATAACACACCAAGGGATGCCACCCATGAGAAAAATGATAAAAAAAAAAATATTTAGTCCGTCTCGAGGCGTTGTGGTCCTAGTTTGGAGGGTTGTGGTGCTCAAATCTCTGATCCAAATTCATCTGACAGTGTTGCGGTGTTCAAACTCGCAGCGCTGCGGCATTGCACAGTATTACGGCCCCGAAAATCTAGAGCACTATGGATCTCTGTTATCTATATTTCCTCCCAGTAAACTCTACAATGACAGGGCGCTTAGGTACACAACATTGGATTACTCGGGTACATAGCACTGGGGCGTTGTGCAGAAAAAAAATCGTGTACAAAGAACCCGAACCCAGGCAAGGAGAAGACCCCCAACCCGAGCATGAGAAATTAACTTGAGATAAAAGGTATCAATACACAGTACAACTTGATTGATTTTCATGATCATATTCCACACAGATTGGCATCTACTACTTGATTGGAGTAAACAAAACGAAACAAACAAGAAAAAAAAATAGCGAAGCAAGAACACTGGAGTTTACGTGGAAAATCTGAAAACATGAAAATCACAGAGCCACAACACACCAAGAAATTCACTATGAATCAGAGAAATTTTACATATCTTTCTCTCTTTATATACTCTTTCACAATCTTGAAACTCTTTCATACATCAAAGCATAATCATCATTCAATTAAAACTCAACGATAAAACAATTAAATATACGTGGCTAGCAGTTGTGGTAGGCTTGAAAACTGCTGATTCTTTACACCTTAGAAATATTTCGATTCCTCTAACTTGCAGTCTATGTCATGACTACCCTGAAAGCGTTTCGCATCTATTTTTTGAATGCTCATTCTCTTATGCTGTCATCACTTAAATTATTCCTCCTTCCAAATGCCTTCTCCTAAGACTCACTTTTTTGCAACTTGTTGAATGGATAAAAGGTGAATTGAATGTGCAGCAGAAGGTTAAAAGTCTCTATTTTCTTCTGTCTTGCTGCTCTATTTACTACATTTGGAAAGAAAGAAATAGTAAAAGATTTGGCAATTCAATTAGTGGTATCAGTACTATTTCTTTAAATATCAAGAAAGCTGTTTTTGAGAAAGTTATAAAGTGGAATTCCTCCACTCATATCCTGGGCCTGCTTTAATGGGATATGATTCTCTCTTTGTGGTTGCTGGTTGTTCACTGAGGAGATTTTCTTATTTCTGGGTATTCATGGTTTTGTCCCTGGGTGCTTCTCATTTCTGGTTGCGATGCTTTTGGGAATTGCCTGCTGGTTTCTTCAACAAAGCCTTGGACAATGATGATGCTCCAAGTGCAGGCACTCCTAGGATGGTCTACGGGCAACTAGGGGTTTGATCATTTCTATGATTGCAACTATTGTATATCCTGAGTCCAGGCTTATCTAGCTGTGGGAGCCCAGTTTGTATTTTTGTCTGTTTTCCTGCCCTGCTTTGCTTTTATTTTCTTGCAGGTTTATTTTTGCTTTTGGCTCCATGATGAGCTAGCTCCTTTTTATCTGGAGCTGAATTTTGTGCTTTTACTTACTTGTAATTTCCTCCTCTTTACCATTAAATATACGGGCTAAGCCCAAATTTTTCCCAAAAAAAAAAAGAGAAAACAAAAAGAAACTGTTCAAAAGGCCGTAGGGTCGCCATGTTAACCCGCAGTTCCCGAAAAAGATAATTCAAGATACATCAAGCTAGGTTTTGCTCAAAATATACAACATCTGTTTTAACCGTAAGAGAATTCTCTTTTATTACCAAACACTCATTTTTATCCTAAAAATATAATTATTTACAATTGCTTTGATTGTTGACTCGCAAAAAAAATTAGCTTCTTATTGCCCTATCAAAGAATTTTGCAGAAAAAACATTCATATTGTAAAATGAAAATTTTATCTTAAGACATCTTAATACAATATTTTCTCCCTAATAATCTTCTCCGCAAGATGGTCATCCCGTGTAGTGGCGTGAATTGAAAACTTCGGCAAGATCACATGAGGTGGCTGAGGCCGTTAATTCAGGGAATGAAAGAGTTAAAAGTCCCCTATTGCCAAATTTAAAGTGTTGATAGGGCTCCTTACCTAAAAACCCCTGGCCCGGAGATCGAATAGGAAAAGAAGATTTGTCTCATATCTTTTATTATCCATCTTCCGGCATTATCAAATTATTGCTGTTGTTCGGTTCGGAAAAGAAAACAGAGCAAGGGAAAGTTGTTCTGCAAAGCATTTTAATACTTTATTAAACAATCATGATTCAGTTGAACTTAACAGAGTTACTCAAAGTGACTTTTTTCACCTTATAAGACTAGCAAATTAGTGAGGAAACTTACAAGGCATGGAACTTATGCATGCAATGATCTTTGTTATAGAAGTAGGAGGATTGGAGAGGCATCTATGTTGCACCGATACTCCTATTTATGAAGACGTGTTGTATTCGATACACCGACGTGCCTCCGATACGGCACCGATACGTATCGGATGCGGCAAAGACGTATCCAATTAAAATACTATTTAATTTCAAAAGGACACGCGTATCCCATACCGTGTCAGTTGAAAAGCTAAAAAAAAAAAGACGCGTCATATTGACTTCAACGGCTGCAAGCGAGGTTCTCTTATTTTTTTAGATGGATTTGAGTGTCTTGATGATATGAGAATATTATAAATTGCTAATCTTTCACTTGATGAGTTTGCATTAAAAGTTATGATATTTGTTGAAGATGATATAGAAGTTCGAAGACAAACAACTGAAGAAGCTAATCATATCATTCCTTTTATTGAATAGTTGAAACTTCATGTGCTAGATAATTTATATTTATGCTTTTGTTGTTGTACTAGACATTTAATGTTTACTTTTATTTTGATATTATAAGCTACAATGCTACAAATGATGATATTTTCATTTTTTTTTTGTAATTTCAAATATCATGCTTTGATTGTTTTCTTAATTCATATGTATGATTTACAAATTATAATGTCGTGTTCATATCGTACCCGTATCCTATATTTTTTAAGAATTAACGTGTCCCATTTCCGTATTGTGTCGTATCTATATCGTCATATCCGTTTCGGTGCAACATAAAGGGGCATT